GTCAGGGTCAGTTGTTTTGGCTGTGTTTCCTCTCAGCTTCTTGTGCACCACAACCTACTCACTAACAGGGCAGCATGAGCAGGAAAGGCCATGATGATGTGTAAGCATCCCCCAGCAATAGTAAAGCATTGGTGTGCTAACAACCATCACTAACAAGCGATTTTGATTACAAATCCAAAATGCAGCACCTTATGAGTTATTATGAAGAAAACTAACCCTACTCAAGCCAAAACCAGTAGCAGAAGGAAAGAACTGTCTTTCTACACTGGGTTTCCTTTTTTTAGAAGGCTGTAATAACACTGAATTTCAGATCTTTTTCAGAAAATCTCCATTTCTGCGTTCTTTTCTGACCTCTCTTTTGCTAAAGACAATGTAATTCCCATTCTACATAATATTTTCAACACATTCCTCACTGCTGGCTCATATCCAATCTATGAGAGTTTTCTCTTTTGTTGTTTTCTTCCAAATCCTGAACCAAATTTTATCACCTGTATTTCCATATCTTCCTAGTTAGTCTATCATTTGGTAGATACCAAACAACAGCTGTTCGTGAATTAAAATCCCCTTATTGCTGTTAGAACTTGGGATAATTTTGTTAGCTGCTTGAAAAACTGTGCCTCTTTCATCTTCATGACTTAAAATAAAATCTACGTTTGCATCACACGTTTCTCATTTAGAGAAACGTACGTAAGAGTTAGCATGTCCATCTTTGGTAACCTGGGAATTGTACATCTTTCCTTCCTTGTTGAAGAAGCCCCTTGGTTAGTCCACTTGTAAACGATTTCACAAAGCCCTGCGTAAATTATGATTTGGTTATGTTATAAGAATTCAATTTTCTGCTTGTGTCATCATCTCTTGCAGTAATAATAAATGTGTCTGTTCTTATTCTCCCTGCACTTTTGACCTTTTATTGAGTTAATATTCTTCTTTCAATTTTTAGATCTCTGTGATGTCTACCTTTGTTTATGCCTCTTTTGATACTTCTCCATAGCTTCATTTCTTTCTGACATGATGACTTGGAAGTTCTCCTTCCCACTGTAGGAAGCCTGTAGACAAAGACTTCATGGTGATCTGGCAAGCAGAGATAAATTCAGATTAATTCTTGGTGTACACAACCGTAGTCTGAGTTGCATCAAGAGAAGCATGATCATCAGGTCAAAGCAATTCTGCCCCTGTACTCTGCTCTTGTGAGATCTCATCTGAAGTACTGTGTCCAGTTCTGGTGCCCCTAGCACAAGAAGGACATGGAGCTGTTGGAGCAGGTCCAGAGGAGGGCCTGATGATCAGAGGGCTGGAGCACCTCCCTTAAAAAAACAAGCTGAGAGAGCTGGGGCTCTTCATCTTGGAGAAGAGAAGGCTCCAGAGGCACCATATAGTGGCCTTCCAGTTCCTGAAGGGGCCTACAGGAAATCTGGGGAGGGACATTTTAGAAGGGCATACAGCAGGGGGACAAGGGAAGAAGGCTTTATCCTGGAAGAAGGTAGATTTAGGCTAGATATCAGGAAGAAATTGTTTACTGTGAGGATGGTGAGACACTGGAACAGGTTGCCCAGTGTTGCTGTGGATGTCACTCCCTGGAGACGTTCAAGGCCAGGCTGGATGGGGCAATGGGCAACCTGGTCTAGCGGGAGGTGTCCCTGCCTACAGCAGGGGGGTTGGAACTGAATGATCTTAAGTTTTCCTTTCAGCCCCAACCATTCTATGATTCTACTGTGCACTGTGAATTTTATCTTCCTGCTAAAATCAAATAGAAGGACTTATCATTGCTAGTATACGTCATGAAACTATTGCAAACTATTTTACAAACAGATTTAAGAAAAGCTATGCTGAAATGGACTGTCAGTGCCTCTAAGAAGAAGAAAATGATTGAAACTTGAAAACACCCCACAGATCTACTTCAATTTTAGAGCTAATTTTCCACTTGAATTCTGTGTTTCTTACATAATATACATTTTAGGAGTTCAGTCAACTTTGACTTTGTTCTCCCATAACAGGAAGGAAAATGTGCGTAAACTAGAGATCTTAGAGTTACTTGACTTCTGATTATAGGCAATAAGAAGACTTTTAGAAATGAAAGTGAGCTTATCCCTGTGTGCTAGAAAGGTACATTTATTTCTTACTGTAAACATTAAGTGCATCTTCCAAAGTGAGATTGCCATGTGGCACTCTGAAATATGTTACAGAATAGGTATTTTTGAATAGCTACTTCAGTGAACTTACAGAGCAATACTGTCATGTGGCACTCTGAAATACGTTATAGAATAGATATCTTTCAATAGCTACTTCAATGAACTTCAAATTTTTTTCTTTTCTTTTCCTTTTTTTTTTTTTTTTTTGAACAGCAATTTTAAGTTTTTACTTGGTTTATGTATACGGAACTGTGAACTACAGAGAAATGGATTGATCTCTAAACAAACCCTCTAGCTTAGCACTATTCCCAGAGCCATATATCAGCTCTATTTTAGTGGGACTTGAACAAAGGAACAAACATTTTCAGTCTATAAATGTGTGTCCTTCAATGTAATTTGTATGGAAAAGTCCACCTACAGAATGAGCTGCAAACTAATACTTTCTTGTCAATCTCTTTGTGGCAGTCATGGGGAGTCAGTGTGGCTAAAACAGTTGAACCACACGTCTCGTGCCTACCTGTTCATAGTTCATGCCAACACAACACACTGTTGTTTGTTTTGCATTCACAAGTCATTCTGAAGAGGTTATGACAGACAGAAAATCTTTGCCATGATCCAGCCGCCAGACAGAGCTGTGATCATTAGCAAGGCTGAGGGTAGCAGGGTCATCTCAGATTTGTGTGGTGTCGAGCTGCAGAACTAGCATCTAGCAGCAGATAAAATTGCGCTCTGTCATCATGATGGAGAAAAAACTGCTCAGTAGAGCTTGTTGTCATCACTGGAACATTTGGAGAATGCTAAGCAATATCTCTCCTGCAAATTGTTCAATAGCAGGAATGATGTCTGGGTATCTCAGGCACAGCCAACAGGAATATCAAAATCCAAAGACCTGTCTTGTGTTCCTATGATTAAAAATAATGAATAAACATGAAAGAGAGTATTTCATGGTAACTTTGGGTATGAGACAGAACTAACACCTGCAGACATCCATCTTTCCCTCAACTAGAAAAATTAAACAAAACTTTGTGGGTTAGCAAGACAAAAATGATTGATTTCCATTACAGGCACAAGTAAGGGAACCAAATATTATGCAATTTTATTGTCAAGCAAAAGGAAGAACCATTATTACATGGAGCAGCTGTGATCCCAACTCAGTCCTGAACATCAGACATATGTTTCCATTTTACAAAAGGGCTCATCTGTCTGACAAGGGCTGGTTTAGACTTGAAACTCTTGCTGGTTTGTTAGTTGTGGTAAATGATCTCATCATACAAAAGCATCATGATCTCATCATACGAAACAGTATAAAACTTCCTGTTGTCCTTTTGAGATGGTCTCTTTTTATGACCAAAAAGGGTTCCTCAGAGATGCAGGTATGTAAATGTTAGGTAAAAGATAGTGAGTCTAGCAAGGATAGAGACACTGACTTTACATAAAGTGAGCATGCTAAAGCTGAGCCTTAGATGTAGCGTAAAACATAGCACCATGAGAACTAGGCCTTTCTGCTACTTTCCTTGAGTAGCTCTCTGCTCAGTCTTTCAGCTTCAGAGTCTGATTTTAACTTTTCATTCTTAATCCATGTGATCTTTGCATGTATGTGAATGCCATGAAATGCCAATGAAGGCTGCTGCAGGGAAGGCACCACTGGAGACTTCCAAGGGGAAGCAGTGACCATTTTACCGGTGCTTCAGAACAGAGAAAAGTGAGCACGTATTTGAACAAACTTACTGACAGAGCATTCCCAATCCAGCTGTGGTGTTCGGTTTACACTGTACAGCTTACTCAAAGTAGCCAATGGAAAAGTTTTGGAAAGTGAGAGATGTGGAGAGGGGAAAAACAGGAAGAAAAAGTGACAACAGTAAGTGACAAAATGAGTATTAGTTTTTAGTGTGCGGGTATAAGAGAAATAAAAGATCCTAAAACTATTTCACAAGTAGTCAAGTTATTGTCTTAGCAATTACTTTCTGCTCATTTACAATTTGTGAGGCTCTATAGGCCTGATATTAAGTAGGAAGCAAATTCTTTAGAAAAAACCTTTACCCTTAAGACATAAGCAACTCAGAGACAGGTGAAGCTGTCCAATACAAAAACAGACCTGGAGGATCCATACTGGACTGTTTCACCTCCGTAGATAATTAATTGCTTTATTGATGTTGTGCTTAGAAGAAAATCTTATGATCAAGCCTGGCCCTTATATAGCTGAGGTAGAAAACAGCTGTCGCTGCCTCGGCTAAAAACCATTCTCCAGTTAAGCATCCTTTTTCAGTGGAAGTACTCTTTCCATGTCATCAATCGCTCTCTAATACAGAAGGTTTGTTAAGCCTTTCATTATAAGACAGATCTCCTACCCCTTAATGCTTCCTCTCTGAACCTACCTACATTTTTCACTGAAGAACATAAAAAGAAATGAGGAAAGATGAGTTTCTACATGAAAGAATTCCTCACATCAAAGCTGACGTGGAAATAACTCTGTGCAACTTTCCACTCCTTTTATTTATTTATCGTTGGTGTTGTACTGAGGCCCGCTGTCCGTGTCCACACGTGCTCCCCAGGGCCACCTGCATCCCGGCTGCCCAAAGCCGGCTGGTGGGGCTCCTAACACGGGGCGGTTTGGGGCTCTGCGGTTGGGTTCAAGGCGGGCCACCACGGTGGGCTATTCATTGAGTATCACTGAGATGTGAGGAGCTGCAGCCGCTGCCCCGAGGCTCTGCGGATGAGGTAAGCGAGGCCGAGGACGCCCGCCCGCACACGGCTCCGTCAGCGGCGTCGGGTCCCCCCTCGGCGGCTTTCCGTCAGCCCCCGCGGGGCCGGATAAAAGGCGGCGCGGCGAGCGAGGAGCAGAGCGTGGCGCTGCCCCGCCCGGCCGGTCCCATGCAGCCCGCCATGATGATGTTCTCCAGCAAGTACTGGGCGCGGAGGGGCTTCTCGCTGGACTCGGCCCTGCCGGAGGAGCGCCCCGGCGGCCTCACCGTAAGTGGCGGGGCTGGGACAGAAGTGGCGGGGGGATCCGGAGGTAGGGCAGCGAGCTGCCGGCCCGCGGGTTTAACTTTGCGGCCGCAGGCATCGCTGGCGGCTGCTGAGAATCCAACGGGTGCTGCTTCCCAGCGCTGCCGCGAGGGTGTCCTCAAACAACAGCGAAAGTTTCGCTAGGAAGGCATGCACGGAGGGTGAGCCGCGCTGCTGCAGTGCTGTCAGAACACGGGAGCCCAGCACAGCTGTTCCCGAGCGCCAAGGCTGTGCCAGTGCGCTTACAAACCTCGCAGCGGTTTGTAACCGCAGCACTCTTGGAATGTGTTTGATGGCAGCAAGCGGCGGTCGGAGCGGTGCTCGTGGGGAGCAGCGGTGCAGCCGGACCGCTAATCGGCTCCGAGTAGGCTTACTCTGTCTGTAACGGGTGCTGATGTTCTCATCTGCTCTGAATGGGGTGAACGTTTTGGGTTTTCAGAACTCAGAGCCCATAAAGTTGTATGTCAGATCTGCAGCGTGTGGGGGCTTTGAGAATTTGAGTAGAACCCACGGGATGTGTTTGCTTGTACCAGTTGTGAACTGGCCTTACAGGAAAACGTGTAACATCCTTGTTTGTGTGTGCTTTATTTCTGTCAGAAATGTTGAATTAAATGGAATCTGTCTGTTTTACATATTTTGTTTGAGTTACTTTGAGTTATTCTGTAGTTCACTCCTTTGCTCCTGAGTACTTGCACTTGCTCCAGGCAACTCATTTTCATTAGGATGGTTGATCTGCTTACCATTAAAACACTTTATGATTAAATAATAGGCATGGCTGATAAGATTTGAGCTCTTGCAGTATCCTAGCCTCTTCAGTTGGGCTTGTGATGATTAGCTAATCTGGTTTTCTTACACTCAAGAGAGGCTTTCAGTCATCACTTCAGGTAATGCTTGTTTTGAAGTAGTGCTGAACCTTAGGCAGTCATGGAGGGTGACAGGTGCCCTTGTTTCCCTGAGGAATCAGTGGTACTGAGGTGCTCAGGATGACTGTGATCCTCTGTGTGTAGCTTCCTGGAAACAGCTTACAGAGAAGAAGCATGGATGCTATATAAACAGCATCTGTGCACTTCATATAGATGAAAACTGCTCAGCCAAATCCCAGATATTGTTGAAGTTAAAGCCAAAGTGACCTTCCACTAGACTGTCCCCAAGCAAACCCCTCAGCAGGAAGAACCATATAAGCTCAATTGCTAAAAAGTAAATGTGTTTGAGTGTCTTCACAAACAGAATTACTTTTTCCAAATGGTTTAAGTATGATCTGATAAATGATAAGAGACCACAGAGACCTGTGAATATGTGGTAGGGGTAGTTTAACCTGTGCTATTTTAAGTTGTTGCTTTTGGTAAGAAGATGCATTTCAACTAGCCCTTCTTTTAATTCAGTGCATTCTTGTGCTTTTTATGTATGTGTGTATACACACACACACACGCACACACACACACACACACACACACATATATATATATATATATATATACACAGATATATATATATATACACAGATATATATGTCCAGTGGGAGCTGAATATCCTGTGGTCTCACGCAGCAGAGGGAAGTACCTCAAAGTGGACTGGGATCAAGTAGAAAAGCAAACTAGTTTAACATGTGCCGTGTGGCTGTGTTGAGAGGGTGTGATGCAAATATCTCATCTCTGTCAGCAATATTTAGTGCTAAGAAAGCTATCTCAATTAGTCCAGCTTGGAAAAGGAATTAGACTAAACTTTACTAATCTCTTTTTCCTGGGACAAAAAGCTCCTTATGAAACGTAATGTTTTTTTGGAAAGCACAGAGAGACTTTAGTAAAGCCCATTGCCCTAGACAGAGCCACAGACATCCTGCACGTGGGATAACCCACCTTGGCAGCTCTAAGAAAACAGGAATAGATACTTGGCTTTAACCAAGAGTTGAGACCTGTTCAAAGAATGGGTGGAATTTTTGATTGTTTTCTACAGTTTACAAAGAACTGTTAGTAGTTGTGGAATTGTTGTATATGTCTCTTAGTTTCTAAGTTCATGTCTTTTAGCGACCATATTAGAGGTGATACTGTTGTTTAGAAAGTGGTGAGCATCTCACTGAGGACAGCATTTCTGAGTCACAACTTGGTTGGAGAATGCAGGCTGGTTTTTGAAAATCATGGTCAGTATTATCAGAACTGTCTACAGAGCTTATAAAGCCCAACTTGCTGTTCTGTTGCATCTCAACGGAATTTAAGTTAACTGAAAAAAGTCCACATTTCTTGGAAACTACTGGATGAGGCAAACCTCATTTGAAGCAAAGTTTTCACCTTCTTGATTAAGAGAAGATCGTAGATTTCTCAGGAGAAATGACATTACACAGCAACTGTACTACAACAGATAGCATAAAGTTTATATTTTAAATTTAATCAGCATGGCTGACCAGTAAACCCCAGCAATGGAAGAAGGCTCAGCAGTGATGGGTAGGAGGATGTGCCTGTGAAGCTCAATGAATAAGGCCAAATGTGACTGACCACAGCGTTTGCAGAAAGCTGATCTTATCTTGGTGGGTACCAGGGAGTGGCCTTTGCTTTAGATACATGGCTGCCCTCAGTTACACAGATTAACTGTTGATTTAGGTATCTCTCCAGAGTTACAGAGTGAATGACTCCTTGAGTTAAGCCTGACCAGTATGTGGAAGTGAATACATGGCTCAGCCCAGTATGGGTATGGAAACTACATCACTAATAGGATAACAGCAGGAAAATCAGTGGCCTTAATCCATATATTCATTTCTGGTGACTGGGTACACCCAGCATAGTGACGGTGAGCACAAGATCAGAGAAGCATAGAGTTGTTTGGGTTGGAAAGGACCTTTAATGACCATCTGGTCCAATTCTCCTGCAGTGAACAGGGATACCTACAGCTAGAACAGGCACTTGCTCAGACACTGGTCCAGCCTGACCTTGAATTTCTTCAGGGATGAGGTATTCACTACCTCTCTGGGCAACCTGTTTGACTACCTTGCTGCCCTTATTGTAAAAACAAAACAAAACAAAAAGCCTTTTTTTCTTACATCCAGTCTGAATCTTTCTGTTTGAAACTATTTTCCCTTGTCCTATCACAACAGACACTGCTAAAGAGTCTGTCCCCTTCATCCTTATAGCCCCCCTCGTCCTCCCTCCCCCATTAGGTACTGTAAGGCTGATCTCAGGTCTCTTAGAGCCTTCTCTTCTCTAGGCTGAACAGCGCCAGCTCTCTCAGCCTGTCCTTTCGGGGAGGTGTTCCATCTCCTAGACCACTTTTGTGGCACTCCTCTAGGCATGCTCCAACAGTTCCATGTCTCTCATTTACTGAGGGCTCCAGATCTGGACACAGTATTCCAGGTGAGGTCTCACCAGTGCAGAGTCAAGGGGGCAGGATCACCTCCCTCAACCTGCTGGTCACACTGCATCAGCCGAGGATAAGGTTGGCTTTCTGGGCTGCAAGGGCACATTGCAGGCTTGTGTTCAAGTTGTTATCCACCAGTATCTCCAAGTCCTCTTTGCTAGGGCTGTGCTCCATCTTTTCATCCCCCAGCTTGTACTGATAGCAGGGGTTGCCGTGACCCATGTGCAGGACCTTGCACTTGAATGTATTGAACATTGTGAGGTTCTCCTGGGCCCATAGCTGGAGCCTGTCTAGGTCTCTTTGACAGGCATCCTGTTCTTCGGGCATGTCAAAAGTACCACACAGCTTGGTGTTGTCTGCAAACTTGCTGATGGTGCACTTGATACAGCTGTCCATGTCATTGATGAAGGAGTTAATGAGGCTTGGTCCCAGTACTGACCCCTAAGGGACACAACTTGTCACTGATCTCCATCCACACATGGAGACATTGGGCACCACTCACCGAGTGTGATCTCACAACTAGTAATAGACAGACCAGTAACGCAAATAACACTGACGTTGTGATTGAACTGTTTACTGAGATTGCAGCTTTTTGCCAAGTATCACTTGCATTTGTAGTCTGTTTTCAGTGTGTTAAGTATCACTGCTAAATCTGAATTCCTGTGTAACATCACACATTGTCTGTTAAGAACGTTTCGTACTAAGCATTATGCACCCCATGTGTGGAACGTCTAAAAGCAGCTGGTCAGAGAGTATTGGACTCTTGACAATATATAATACAGAAGTACAGACCAGTAAAAATCATCTTGGACTGATTTAGAGATAGAATAGCATCACTGCAATTAGTGGTTTTGTGGTAATTCAGACCATCATCTCCTTTTGCTTTCCTTATTAGTCTTGATAGCGTGGCCCTAAAAAGTCAATATATATCCTGTGTGTATGTATATCTGTGATTCTGGTTTCAGGTAAATAAATTAACTTTTAAATTAAGTCTGGATAGGTTCAATTCAGCTATTTTCTAATGAAAGTTTGTCTTTATGTAATATGACTTACTTTTGGGAAATACCCTTTTGCAACTGAATCACTGCTGTTCTTTATCTGTTTGTAGATAAACAGATCAAGCTCTGGGAAAAATGAGGAGAAAAAAGGCAGCAAGGGAAATGGGAAAGGCGAGTCGGTTTCTGAAGGTGGAAAGACAGCTGTGGTGTTTTCCTTGAAGAATGAAGTTGGTGGATTGGTGAAAGCTCTCCGGCTTTTTCAGGTAAAGCTTACATATCATTGTGCTGATCAGATGAGAAAGAATACTGAGGTCAGGCTCTTTGTTGGTATAAATTAATGCACCATAGAGTGCAGTTACTTTTAGTGAATCTGCAGAGTGTAACTTCGGGCTTTATGGGTCGTTCAACAAAGCATTTAAGACTTTCAGAGAATTTTCTGGAACAAAGTTTAACTGTGATGGTGATATTCGCACTATTCACTTTAGATTTCCAAAGTGTGATTCTCAGCATCATAAATTAGGTTTGAAGTTCTTTGTGCAGACCATGATGAAAGGAAGCAGATTCAGAGAGCAGTTCAGAGTGTGAATTATATGCTCAAAGTCAGATGGCGATGACAACCTTGTTGCAGAACAGTGTTTGGTCATAAATTTAAGTGCACCTTTAAGTGCTTGCAGGGTCAGAGCTTTCTGTCTAACTGGAACTTACATTGTGAAGCATTGGTTTCCAGATAGATCCCCATGCAATTGGTGGTTTTCAATCTGACTGCTGGTACTCTATGTAGTCTGCTTACCTTATTAATACATTGAAGAGGACTTGAAGGCATTTCTAAGGACAATTCAGGCAAAGCACCATGATGAAAACCTTAGGCTGCTCAGTCTGTGCAGTGAAGAAAATGTTAAGAGGTGATTTGGAATCTACCGCTTTATGCTAAACCATCAGAGGGGTATAACTGTGGGAGCACAGGGTGTTACTGAGCCTAAATGACAGGATTTGGTTCTGGGTGCAGATTCCCCAGGCTGATGCAGATATCTAGACTGTCCAGATGTTGAAAGTGGAGTGAGCTGAGCTTCTGTTGCAGGAGAGGGCTAAGTAAGCCAATAGGAACTGCAGGAAGAGAGACATGTTTTCAACGCAGCTTCTCTCCAAAGTGCAGCTCTGGCTTAAATTATTCAATGGGTTCAGACCCGAAATCCTGAATATATATGTCTGCTCTACCTTGAGAACAATTTGCTTACATACAATTCATTTGGCTTTCTAAAATGTGTTTGGAAGATGTTGCAGAGAGATCAACTGCATTCACATAGTTGCTGAGCAATTTGAGCATGGGAAGGGTGGGATTATGTTGTCATCTAAACCTAGGGCTAATCAAAGCCACTTTCTCTACTTCAGAAGAGAATGTCTGAAACCATCATCCCTGTGTCAGTTGAAAAGGAGTCCTGTGGCCTGGTTTACTCAGGAAGAGATCATCAAAATGATTCTGCTTGGCTTCTGTAATCTGCTGGTCTACAATCAGCAGATTCAAAGCCCTCAGCAAATGGAGTCTTTTCCTTCTGCAGATTTGTTGCGTGAATGTGTTAATTAAGAAGACGCAGTGTATACATACTTTATGGAGTGTGCCAGTGAAATAGTTGCCTACTATGTGGATTCACATGTGGAAGATCAGAAACTGCTGGCTGCCTGTACCAGAGGGGACCTTCATTTGAAGCTTTCCTGAGGAATATGCCATCAATATTGCAATCCTAACTGATATGTCTATATTTAACCCATTGTTTCTTTTTTCTGCAGGAGAAACATGTGAGTATGGTTCATATTGAATCACGAAAATCAAAGAGAAGGAACTCAGAGGTAGAAATTTTTGTGGATTGTGACTGCAGTAAGAAGGAATTTAATGAGCTAATCCAGTTGCTCAAGTTTCAAACTAACATTGTGTCTCTGAATCCACCAGAAAACATCTGGACTGATGAGGAAGGCAAGGCTATTTCTGTATCGCTGTTTTATAGACTCACAAATGTTTTGCACAGTTATAGCCATAATCTTATATTCAGTATATTTAACTCACATTCTATCTTCTGCAGATCTTGATTGTGTCCCTTGGTTTCCTCGGAAGATATCTGAATTAGACAAATGTTCACAAAGAGTATTGATGTATGGATCTGAGCTGGATGCAGATCACCCTGTAAGTGTAAAATACAATTGTATTGCAGATAATTTGTTCACATTCTTTGCCAGTCAAATAAAAATCCTGTTGACTGCTGGTTTTGAGTGCTTTTCTGAGCATGGTCGGTGTTTAGTTCTGTTCACTGTTTCCAATGAATTAATTATCCTTTTCTGTAGCTGGACATGAAAGAAGGAAGTCCTCCATAAAGGACTCTTGAAAACTTTGTTTTTTTTTTCTGTTCTCATTTATTTACTTCTTATTTAGCTGGTTGTTAGAAGTTTTCAGACAAAGAGAAGAGTTTAGATCATTGTGACCTTAGAGGCTGTCACAGGTGGCTCTTAAATAAGAATAGATATAAACTTAGTTGTCAGAGAAAAAATAATTGTGGAAAAAGACTTCCTGGCCACTCAGGAGATAATTGCAAAATAAAACAGCAGCACATTCCTGTTTCTGTGTGCAGAAAGGAATGCAACAGATGGGAAGGTGTCTCATATTGTTTCCTGACTTCAGTGACAGGAGTCAAGCTTGCATTTCATATAAGCGATACCTGCAGTGGTGCCAAATGTTCAGTGTAAAAAGACAAAAAAAAAGAAAAAAAAAAAAAAAAAAAAAAAAAAAGGTTTGTTTTATTCCATTTGGCTCAAGTCCGTACATGCTTAACATCTAATTCTTTACATAGCAGATGATTGCAAGCTTTTGTGTTAAGGGATTTTCACTTGTTTCAAATCGAGGTTTCCACCTTTGGACCTGTTGGTTGAGCAATACTAATGGCAACTTATTGTATTATTCCTACTCTGAAAGCTGAATTCAACTGGTATTATGGGAAGCTCCCAGGTGAAAGGAAGGAATGAACTGAAGTACCTGAATATGAGCTTTTCCTGCACTGTGGGCCTGCAGTTGGGAAGCATGTTCCTGGGTCCTGATTTCTGCCACATACTTCTTAGTGACAAGCTAGGATTTACCTACTATTTTTCTCAGAATGGAAAAATCTGTTGATTACCTTCAACCATTAGCAGTAATTTGGTTCAAACAGAGGCCTTAATGGTGACTCATTCTAGCCTTGAGTTCATGATTGTGATGAGCCATTTGATACTGTTTTATGTTCTGAGCTGGTGCCTTCATTAAATTGTTGAGTGCTCTACTGAAAATCTGCCTTCAGTTTTACAGACAATGAAAAAAGACATTTGCATTATATGAATATATATTTTACACTTGAGGGAACTATTATGAACATAATTTACACACCATTTGTTAGCGTATGCAGCACGCTAGATATTAGAGATGGGGGAAAAACTATAAAATCTGTGATTGGCCTTTCAAATGCCAGTTCTGGTGCCTGCTTTGTTCCTTCATAGTAATGTATTGATGCCAGACCAAAGAGAATTGCTCCATTATGGAATCAGTACAGCACTAGTTTAGGTTCTAACCCATTCCATATTGACTAGTGGTTTCAGTCTTGATTTCTCTGCACGTGCTGGACATTTGAGTCACCTATGCTGTCATCCATTCCATTTTGTCTGTTGCATGTTACAGCTGAGTAACAATGCTAGTGTAAAGGGTATTAAGCAGACAGACGTATGCTCCAAAATGTCACAAGTTTTTGCCTGTCAAAAAGCTTCTCTATATGAGTGGTGTTGATTATAGCACCGTTCTTGATTCTTCTGTAGCATTTCTCAGGAGGGTGCTATGCCCTGTTGAAAGCAGGCCGCAAAAATGCAAGATTAGGGAGGCAGGCAGTTGTTTGAGTGCATGAAGTTCGTGATAGTTATGCACAGCAAGTTGATAACTGAATGAATGGCATGTTTAAAAAAAAAATAAAATGAATCGTATACTCATAGAATGGCTTGGGTTGGAAGGGACCCCAAGGATTGTCAAGTTCTAACCCCTCTGCCACAGATAATAGATAAGGCTGCTCAGGTCCCCATCCAGCCTGGCCTTAACGCATTTCTAGGGGTATCCATGACTTCTCTGGGCAACTTGTTCCAGCACCTCACTATTCTCTCAGTAAAGAAGTTCCCCCTGCCATCTAATCTAAATCTCCCTTCTTTTAGTTTAAAATGATTTCCCCTTGTCCTATCACTATCCATCCATGTAAAAAGTTGATTTTCCTCATGTTTATAAGCTCTCTTTAAATACTGGAAAGCTGCAATGAAGTCTCCCCCCAGCCTTCTCTTTTCCACGCTGAACAAGCCCAGTTCCTTCAGCCTGTCTTCATAGGAAAGGTGCTCCAGCCCTTGATTTGTCCCTGTGGCCTTCTCTGGACTCTCTCTGACAGCTCCACATAATTCCTGTGTTGGACGCCCCAGACCTGGACACAGTACTTCAGCTGGGGCCTCACAAGGGCAGAATAGAGGAGGACAGTCACTTCTCTCATCCTTCTGGCCACCCCTCTTCTGATGGAGCCCAGGATACCATTGGCCTTCTGGGCTGCAAGTGCACGCTGCTGGCTCATGTTAAGTTTTTCATCAGTCAGAACCGCAAAGTCCTTCTCAGCAGGGCTACTCCCAAGGAGTTCTCCCAGCTTGTATACACTGGATTGCTCAGTACCTGAAGGGTGTTGTGTAAGGCATTTGCTGTCCTGTGTGATAGTGGAGGCTTGAATTCTCTCTACAGTCCTCTGACATTTTCCCTTGCTCAGCCCTAGCAGCGCAGCTTTGGTTATGGGGCCATAAAATACCTTTTGAGTTTTCTCATGCAAACTCATAAACATTTCAAGTCAAAATACATTGTGTTTTCATTCCCTTTGCAAATCTGTATATGTGAACAGTAAGGAAAAAATGTGTTCTACTTTTCAGCTGTGTCTAGGTGATGGGAGCATCCCATTTAAGTCATGGCACTTGAGGAAATTTAAATGCACTTTCTGAGCTACTAGTTGTGGCACTTAGATAGCTATTCTTTTCCATCTTCAAGAGGTTACAAGTCCTGCTTTGAAAGTAGGCAGCTCTTTTGTAGTCTAAAACCTAAATTGTCTAAATTTTTTGTAGATATAGAAGGGAATGTTTTGATTTTGAATAGCTTGAAGGGCTGTTACTGACTCTAGTCTGTATGTGTGATACAGCTCTTTTGCACTTAATATGCAAAAAGCAAGAACCTGCTGTAGCCTAATATGTAGGGCGTTTGATCTGCAGCTCAAATTGGAGGAATGTGTGTATTTGCTGTTGGAGGCTGTTGGCTCAGTCTCTAATGTGTTGGTTAAGATGGCAACTGCTGAAGTAGCATCTTCAAAATGAGTTACTTGTGAACTCTGGGCACCTTCTGTCTTCTAGTGATGACAGATGTATTAAGAAAAGGTCAGTTATTCTGCTTTATGCCTGCCTGTCGATCTCCATACAGATTAAGGAAAACCTGCATGAGATGAAATGACAGGAAAACAGTTTTGCTTTTTCAGTGCCTTGGAAAAATGACTACCAATGCACAAACGTATCTTAAAAACACCCCTGTGGGACTTTGGTGGGGGGAAAAAGGCAAAAGATATTTTTCTCTTACAATCCATAAGATAGTGTTGATCAAAATACAATATAATTTGGTACTGGATAAACACTTTAATGATTTATAATTCTCACAGCTAATTTTCTGTCTTTGTTATAAATTACTTTCTTCTTCCTTGCTTAAGGGATTTAAAGACAATGTCTATCGACAGAGAAGAAAATACTTTGTGGATGTTGCCATGAGCTATAAATAGTAAGTACTGGTATAACTCTTCCCCGGGCTGCTGACTAGTTAGAATTCATGCTCTACTTCATTCTGTAGCAAGAAGTTTTGCAGTAGACAAAGTCATCCTTTAAACTACCACTGGTTCAGCTATGCAAACCTGACGCTTGAAATCCTGTTACATTTTCAGAACAGATACAGACAAGGAAGGAAAGCATTTGAAATGCAAGCACTACCTTTTCAGCATTTTATTAATAGCAGATTAAACTTAAGGAACTGTTATTAATGAAAAACTGATGTACTGCTGAATTGTATGTAGCTAGGGTCCCTGTGTGGTTGCTCTATGCCAAATCATTATTAGCTATTTGAACCAAAGAAAGTTGTGTTTCTTGTGAGGAGGACTGTTAGACATACCTGGAATAGCACCCAAACGAAAGTGGAGCACTATGCTTCACACAAGGGCCATGTTTGTCGTAACAGTTTGACTCCTACCATTGTAACAGGATGAATTCTCAAAATTAGTCACAATTAGGACTAAAAATGAAAATGAATGACATCTCTACCTTCAGGTACAGGATAAGAGTCAGGTCCTGAGGATCCTAAGATTTGGTCCAAATCTGGGAAAGCTGTAACTTAACGGTTAACTTAACAGTTAGCTGTAGCTATCTGAACAAGGCAGTAATAGGAAATGATTCTTTTCTTTTCATGCTCTTAATATGCTGGATGCTGTAAAATGCCTTTTATGAATGTTGCTACCACGGCTGTCAACTTCTCAGAATTCACTGAGTGGATTTCCCTGTAGTTTATGGGACTGGTGTCTATGTACAAGTATGCTGTTTGTGGTTCCGCCTTCTGATCTTTTTCCTTGTCAAATCAGTATTTTCAATTTGCTGCCATGTCTGGAAGTTGGGAAACTTTCTGTGCTACTTAAAAATACCTACCATGTTGCAATTTTCTTCTCAAGTAAGGATTCAGCTAATTCTAATTAGGCTCTGTTTTGTTTGCCCTTGCTCTCAGCGGAAGGAGCATACTGATTTCATGTTCCTTTCCATTTTCAGATTTTTGCTTTTCTTTTTATCCTTTGAGATTTCAAAGTATATTGTTTAAAGAATGCAGAGCACAACAGTTATTTTTTCCCTTCATGAAAGGCATATCCTATCAGGAAGCAATTCAGAAAAGCATTTTAGAAGTTTTTTTGGTTCTGCTTTCTTTGTTCTTATTGTAAAGTTAATTCATGAGCTGTAGAAGACTGGAGGTTGGGACAGGAAAACTAAGTCTACTTTGTGACCATATAATCCTATTTATCTTTCTCCTTCAGTTTTGTTCCATTCCTGTTGTTATGCTGTTACCAATACAGTATATGTCCAAGCACCAGTGTTTGGTTTTCCTTTCTTCAGCCCCCGGTGGCATTTGTTTGTCTGGGTGCTCATGGCACTCTTACAGCACACTGATGTTCTGCATGATGGGACAGGATGGTGGGTGGAGAAGCTTCCCAGGCTCTGGGTTTTGATCCCTTTGTCACTGTAAGTCCTAAGCTTAGCCAGTTTTCAGATTAAAGTTGAGGCAAGTTTTTTGTTTGCTTACAGCTGATTGATTTTATTTCCCAGTCTCATGCTTGCTGCAGAGTTAGTTATTCTTTCCTAACATTTGCTGCAGTGTGAAATGTCAAGCAGATACCTGTGGATGAGGGCGTACTGTGTGCTTCTAGATTTCTCTTGGTAAACTAGGACAGTTCTCCTCTTATTAGTAAGGAAAATGGTAGTGCCCTGCATCTCACAGCTGCTAAGCTGTTGGCAATATCTTCCTCTTTTCTCCCCCTCTAAGCTGTCTAAATGCTGGAAAGGTCCTGCTGGCTCACTGAGCAGTGGTTGGTGTTCTGCTAGAAGGATTTATTTCTCTGAAACTGGCAAGAAACATCTTTTCTGAGAAATCTTGCACATTTCCAGAAAAAGAGATAAAAGGAAGGAAAATGCTTTTTCTTCTTTAGATTTTGAAGACTCAGTACCCATTTCTGCAGATTACAAAAATCAAAAAATTTGAAACAGGTTATTTGGGGGCAAATCTACTCACAAATACTCCCTCATCCCAGTGATATTTTCAAATGTTGTAAGACATTTCACATTCTTCATGGTAGCAGCTGGAACAGGAAAATGAGATTCTTTGAATGTTTTTAACCAAAAAATGGCTTAGAGGGCCCTGACCTTCACAGTTACCTAAAATGTGGCAAAAACTCATTCATATTCCTCAGATCTGCCAACATGACTTTTTTCACCCCTCGGACATGCCATATCCATGGAGCTGTACAGTCGGTCTGTCTCTGGATACATCTGCTCTTAGAGACAGCCCAGCGAGGAGAAAATCAGGAGGAGCCTGTGCTGCTGCAGCTGAACTATTTCTGCTACCCATGCTGGTGCATTCAGAACTAGTTTAAGTGTCTTAACACTACATTGCAGTGTCATTGCACCTTCTTTTCTGGAGAAGACTACTTATTATTTATACAAAAAGAATAGGTATGTCTGGAAATGTTGGGAGAGCTTCACAATAGGGTAAAATACAACTTATGGTATAAGGGCTTCTCTTAGAGGCAAATTTAGAGCATTGTCGCTAACCTCTCAGTATTTCTTCCTCATTGAAAGCTGAGGTTGATGCATTGCTAATTTTCATCCTCCAGTGTTTAAAAAACCCCGCAAACTTGGTTCCTTAAAAAAAGGAAGAGATTTGGCTGCAAAAAATTGGCTCAAGGAAATGGCTCTGTCAAAAATTATTGAGTTGAAAATCCCTGACTGACATTTCCTTTATGAGTTGCTGTTCTGAAGCAGTAGACGTCCTTCTTTGATAGAACATAAAGAGGCCTCAGCTGGGGACAGAGAGAAAAACACTAAGATGTGAACCTAGAGGAGCAGATCCTTGCTGGTGCTAGGTGTTAAAGGGAAAGATGTGCTAATAGAGCACATCAATGAAGATCAACTCTGTGAAATAAATGGACCAAAAAATAAATATTCCTCCCTCCTTCACATAGCTTATATCCTAAAGATAGTGAAAATGTGTTAAACTTGCTAATTAGCCCTTTGAGACTGATTAGAGATTGCAGAAGTGCTGAGAAAATTAAATCTGGAAGAGAAATGCAAGGCTTATGGAGGGGATTCATAATATGAGTTGATAGCTCATGACTGTGGCAAAATGGAAAGACCATTTTAATAAGGGGAAATGAAAATTCAGGTTAGGTTAGCCTTTAATGTCCTTGTAAAGCCAGTTTGCTTGTGGCTGACTAGGCTGTCCTTTGGTATGATTTATTGGGTGATGAAAGCAAGGTGGGTCATGCTTGTAAGAGGGTGAGAAAAGTGAAAGAATGGCACAATCCACCCTTGAGTCTGGCTACCTCCATCCTGTCAATAAAGAAAGCACTCTTAATAAAGAAAGCAGTATCACCATCATCTTTAAATAAGATCAGTGCTACTAGGCATAAATTCTAATAAGGAATTAATTTTCAGTGAACCTTATTTCAGTACTAATGAATTAATTGAAACAATTACTATATTATAAACCTCCTAGAGAAGAGTGAACAAGCGTCAGGACCCTGGTTTTCTTTATACTTTTCTAGTTATGTGCTAAATAGAATCTTGATTTTTTTTTCCCACTGGCACTCAGATTTCTTCAGCTTTGCTGGGCCAGTGCTGACCTGTAATGGCAGTATCCATAGTAGATGCTGCATCTAGGGAAAAGGGATGAGGCTCCTGCATCAGCTCTGGTAGCCTCAGGTGGGTGGAGTACCAGTCTATTTGTACCTGGTATGTATGATACGATTTAGAGTAGCTCTGTTATCCTTCCCATGAGCTGGCAGCAGTTTAAGATTGATGGTCTGTGCAGGTGAAGACAGTTACTGGATCTGAAGGATTGGCTCCCACAGCATAACAGACATGGACCCAGTGCAGCTTCTGCTGGTGAGCAATGCTTCACCACATGCATTGCAATTCTTGTCGTGTCTGCAAAAGAGTGGCTGAAGGAGAACTAGGAAATTTAATGTATTGGATCTTCAGGGCGTTTTTGACAAGTGTGAGCATCTCATACAAAGTATCCTTTGACTGACAGATACCTCTATGGATCAGAATACTTTGACATAGTGAAAGGTGAGGGGATTAAATAGTAAGTTTTCAGCAAAGATAAGGGGACAACCACAAACAAATGTAGGGCAGAGGCTCTTTATGCATGGAGAGACTGCTTAACAGCAGTCACATGTGACAAAAGGGCTCGTTCCTTGTTACTTGGCATGGTGAAGACAAGATTATAAACCAGATGAGAGCCAGGAGGGAAACTCAACTGCTCTAGCAAATACACAGCACTGTAGTTCTGCTGCAGCAGGATTATGCTGTGCACACTGCTGGTGGGACAGCCAAGGCTGTTGTCTGGGTCTGCGGAGGACGCTGCAACACTGAGCTGGGAATACCCATGGTGCCAGCTCTGTGGCTGGGCTGTGGGAGGTAGGGACCTGGAATCCCTCTGCCTAATCTGTGCTCATCAGCAGTCTGAGGGAAGAGAAGGATACCTTAGGAGATGGCAGATTTTGTAGTTGCTTGTAGTAGATGGTGAACATTAAATCCAGAGAAAGATTATAAAGTTTCTAGATGGAAGTCATAATGACAGATGAAGATTATGTCATGGGAAATTCCTTAAAACTAAATGCAAGTCGGTGCAAATTGGAAGGAGCCCCTCACACTCTGTGCTGTCATTCAGTTTTGAATTAGCTGTAACCACTCGAGGCAAATCTTGGATGTGAGAGACAGATCAGCAAGCTCCCCGGGAGGCTCCTGCTCTGCAATTTCTCTGCATCTATATAAGGTGGAGGAGGCAGAGAAATTGTGTAGAAGAAAAATACTGAGAGATGTATTTAAAGTCTTAGTTTAATTTATTCTGGGCTGTTGGCTCCAAGGCGGGCTTCCTCATCACGTAGTCCTGAATGAACATGGGGTTCCAAACACACATGCACAATGGTCTAAATAATAAGTATACGTACTTTGTTGTTTCTATGTGTTTCTAAACATCTAGATAATTGCCTAATCTTCATTTTTAAAATGAGAGCCTGTGAATATTGTGTGTTACAGGGAACAGACAGAGCAATCAATTGATGGTTTTACTGAATGTACAAATTAAACTGAATTTGGAGCTTCAGGTAACCATTACAAAAGTGGCAGAAAGCAAAGCTATTACTTTGGTATACAGATGCATCATATAAGAAATCCGTCTTTCTGTTATGTTGTGGAAGTCATCTCACTGCATATTAAGAAATGCAGTTCTTATGAAATAAATGTAATACAACATAGCATTAGGAAAAAATTCTAAGGAATTCTAAGGATCTAGTCATCACTTTAAAGTAGTTTGTTTTTTTTTTAACAGGCTCTATGTAGTTATAATTATTAAAGTAGCAAAGAAATTCTGCCATCCAGAGTCAATATACAATCTGTATTCAAATATACTCTATAATATCCCTTTTTTTTTTTTTTTCCCCTCAACAGTGGTCAACCCATTCCCAGAGTGGAGTACACAGCTGAAGAAATTAAAACATGGGGGGTGGTGTTCAGGGAACTCAGCAAACTCTATCCCACCCATGCTTGTCGTGAATATTTAAAGAACTTTCCTCTGCTGACTAAGTACTGTGGATATAGAGAGGATAATGTGCCTCAGCTGGAAGATGTCTCTATTTTTCTTAAAGGTAAGATTCATGTTTGATTTATCAGTAGGTAATGCTTCTTGAAACACTCCTTTCTGTTAGAATGTAGTGCAAAGCATATTGAATAGAAAGGCTCCCAGTGCTATCAGCCAGCTGTGGTTTATCCTATTCATGGAAGAGGATATGAAGCTGAGATGAGTTAAATAAATAATCACATGCCGCATTGATGTTGTCCTACACAGGGAGAAAAGTCCTTGTGTATGGTGAAAAAGAGCTGAGTTAGCTCTGCTGTTCTGATAATGGAGCATGGGTGTCCTGGTAACCACAGTGTGTGTTCCCACTTATCTAAGCATTTAAGGAAAAAGGAAAATATGAGGCTCTCCAGACCGCTTAAAACCTCATGAGGCTCACACTGATGTATGGAGAAAATCAGGGGGGTTCCATGGATGATCTACAACTTCTGTGGTATTTTTAAATGATCAGGATATCACTTATTTAAGTTTGGAAATACTCTGCTTTCTCATCTGTGATGGAAATGTATCCCATGTGGAAGGAGAAGCGACAGACGAGAAGAACCTGTTGGTTTTTAACTCCAGAGCTGCCAAAGCGTTCAATTAAGATTTTCTCTTCTCCCAGGGCTTCTTTCAGACACACATCCTTATGCCTTAATCTTCTTCCTCAGGTGCTCAGGAATTAAAATACTGTACAGACATGTGTTTAGAAAGCAATGTTATGGGCTGTTAAGTGTTATGTAGAGGAAATAAAGAAAAAGGCTAAGTGTGTTTTCCCAAGCGTAGATTTTTAACTGAAAGAAATACAAAATTGATAATGAGCGGCTTACTTTCCCCAGTCTCTGCTTCATCCTTAACTCTTGTTTGTCAGTAATTGCATTTACTGATGAGTGACTCATTGATCTTTTGATTTTGATGTGTCGTGGGATTCTCATAGACTGCACTATGATTCCCTAAGGAATTAGGCTCTTTTTCCTTAACTAGAAACACAAAAATTAGCATATTTTTCACAAATATGTTTTTAGACTGAATAGAATGCACTAATATCTGTTGAAGAAATGCTTGGAACAATATCTTGTAAACGCTTGCAAGGAATTAAGAATGAGTTTGGGGGAGAAATGTCCTCTTCAAAGTTATTCAATCTGAAATAATTCTCCACTGGGACTAATCTGTCAACTGAACACTTTGTTAAACATTTAAATGAGGACTTTAGATTTGAAATTCAGTATTTTACTATCACAAATCAGTATTTATCTGTAAAAAAATAAGGGCAGGTTTGGTTTAATCCTATTTTGTTCTGTTTGTTTTCAATACATTTTGCAGAAGTCATCCTCTGTTTTGGATAACTTTTTCCTGCTTTGCTGCGAGATGTAAAAATCAGATGCTTTGTGATTTGAGAACATCCCTTATGGCACTTTACCTTCCTTTCTATACAAAGTTATTTAAACAAACTTTGAAGTACCTCGAGGTGTTTTCATTAAAAATACGCTAGCAATGCAAAATAATTCTTGTTCTTAATAGATGAAGATTATGTGTGGTGACCTTCAGCCGTGACTCTCCATGCCATGTTTCTGGTAATTAACTGCAGACCCGTTACTTGTCCTTAGAAATTGATATTGTAATTTATAATATGGTGTTTTATTATCTCCTTCACTTCAGAAAGGTCTGGCTTCACAGTGAGACCGGTTGCTGGATATCTCTCTCCTCGAGACTTTTTAGCTGGCTTAGCATACAGAGTTTTTCACTGTACTCAGTATGTACGACATGGCTCGGATCCTCTCTACACCCCAGAACCGTAAGTTGCTTCATTTGCTTTAGTGGTGAAAAAATGTGCTTGTAGGATTCTTAAAAGACCCAAGTGAACTAGGCAAGGTTGAAAAGAAGAACCGTGTCACAAATGCAGCTACCCTGTCAGTGATAAAGCCCTTCATGCTGAAGAATCTGAATTTGATTAGGAGTTTTCTCATGGACTTTTTACAAAGATCTTAAATAGCTGTTTTATTTATCTAGTGGATCAAAAAATCTACCTGTATTATTTTGTAGTGGAAGATGGAGCTTTCAAATATGTATTTTGAAAAAGTGACTACAGTTCGACTTTTTCTGGTGGACAGCTAAAGAAAGAAGCTTGTAAGGGAAGCCCTGAATCTCTTGAAAAAATTTGCTTTTGGAATTATGGTTTGGTTGTCTTGTATCTCCATTTATCTTTTTGGGGCCAGACTCTGCAGCTGAGCTTTGTACTGTGCCTATGAAACAGCCAAAGCAAATCATGAGGCACAGTTCTTTCACCCAGAGAGGGTGTTATGTATGAAGTTTGTTACAGAGAACATTATTAGGAAGAAGATGAACATCAATTATGACTCTCATGGAACAACACTGCAGCTTTTTTGGAACAGAATATTATGTGTTGAGATGAAATATTCTAGCTGTTGATCTCTTGATGAAAATGTGGAAGGAAAAAAAGATTGGAGTGATTTTGATTGTTGTGTTACACGTGTTGTGCTCTGTGCAGTACTAACATGCCAGCTAGTATGGAGGCAGTTTCACCAAAAGCATCAGCTAATCTTGCAAACCACAGGAATGGTATTTATGTAGTGAATCACTTACCAGAAAGCTACCATGAAATTGCAGCATTGATTATTCAGCTCATGCTACTTTCTGTAAAATTTGGCAGAAATAAAGAGTTCGTATGTATGTATTCAGCTTCACTCATGTGAACATTTGGACCCATGCCTAACTTTGATTTCCTGAATAGAGTGCTGAAACCATGGAATAGTATTATTTTTTTTTTTTTTATGTAAAAGGATTAATGGAACTGCATAGTAAGCTGCATCTAAAAATGCTCTAACATTATTCTGGACAGAGTCAGCAGGTGGTGCTGTACCACGCACATCCACTCATCTTTTCGGTGTGTGAACAGAGCAGAGTATCTGCTGAGGTACTGTGAGGCTAGTTTTGTGTGCATGTTTGTGTTGGATAAAAGGTGCTGGTCTCTGAATTAATGCACTCACTTCTGTAATCTCTGTAATTAGGACTTTAATTTTTGAAAGTTTTAAGGTAATTGCTACAATGTAAAACCCAGAAAGACTGCCTTGTATGTATGGTGCTGGACCTCCTCTGGTCTGCCTGAGAACATCTGTAGGTATTTCAAAAAAATAAATTACACTTAGGAAATACTAGGCATTGCACCAAATATTTTCTTTAGTGTTTGCAACACCTGCCAATATTCAGCAATACTCAGATTTTTATTAACCTCATATATAATTAGGAGTGGGCTTTCATCTATTGATAGGGGATTTAGGTATATAACTCTAAGTGGAACATCATCCAGGAAACAAGCAAGTGTGCCTATACTCTTGCTAATGTTCTCATGTTCATTGATTTGTATATTTGTGACCTGTATGGTTTTCAGGATACTGCTTACTTTCAGAATTACTCTGTATCATACTAAAACCTTAGTAATTACACCTACTTTCTGTAACCTTTCTGGTTGTGGCATCTGGAAAGTCACTGTGTGGTAATACTTATTAAAATAGAGTTAATAATTTTGTTCCCTGTTTGGGCTGAGCTTAAAAATTCAGGTTTTGGTCTTAACAACTCTGAATATGACTAATAGAGGAAGGAAGTTGTCACACCCTAATTATGTTGCTTTCTTTCTGCAGACCTGCTTGTTCTGAAACTATTTAAAATGTTGCACTGACTGGGAGGAACTCTGTAGGAAAATTTTGAAAATCCTTTTCATATTTTGTGTGATTTCTTTTCATAAAATGGAGCACATAGTAATTGTTATTGGAAATGTAGAGTGAAATTCTGGCTTTGTTGAAATCAATGGCAAAACTAAACTGACTTGAGGAAGGACAGCTCTTCATCTTCTGCTGCAGCTGCAATGCCCTGAGATGTACTAGTTGATATATGGGACCATAATGAGGTTTGTTGCAGGTCCATGGCTTGGTGAATGTTGCATTTCAATGATATAAACCTGCTAAAAAGACTCCTTTTGACTTCAGTGGGCTTTCCATCAGATTTAACACCCAGGATATAGAGCTAGATACAAATTAGAGAGTTCATTTGGTTTGATCTGTATCACTACTATATTCATTTTAAAACATTTCGTCCTCAGTTTCATTATGTTCCTACTACGTTCACAGAGTTATATGGATTTCCTCTGCTCTGCTAATTTACTTCAAGAAAAATCTTTTGCTGTGAAAAGTGCAATACAAAAATCTTATTTTCTCTGAGCGATGTGTGGGAATAAATTAAAGGAACTTAATTATTTTCTGAATAAAACAAAACAAAAGAATCAAGCCTTGGTAGTTAAGCAGAGAATTATGTTGTTTAGGCTATCTATAAAGGACCAGACTGGCAGGGAAATCTAGCAGACTCCAGTGACAATCTCAAATGCTGGTTCATGGTTCTTCCTGGAAGGTGTGGGCTTTTGTGGTGTTTTTCTGTTACTGTTTAGTTTTTTTGTTTTTTTTCCCCATGCTCTTTGGTTTCAAGCTTCCTTTTTTTTTATAACTACTCAGTTAAAACAATAGTTTTAATGCAAAAATCTACAAACTGAAGGCAGAAGAGAAGTATTTTCTGCCTCTGCATTTTCCTCCTCTTGCCAGCAGAAAGACAAGTTTATAGGGCCAGGCTAGCCTTTGTCTGTTCTCTTTTTGTGTGAGGGTGGAAGTGACATAAAGAGCCTATACCCCAGTGCAGAACTAGGAAAAACACGTCTTTGCTCACTTGTTTCTGGGAGCTGCAACTTCTGCACAGGAAAATAGAGATGTAGATAGTCACTCAGGTACCACAGGCATTGCAGAATCCTTCCTGGAGCCAAGAACTTGAAGCCAGTCCCGCTTATTTTCCTTTGTTCTCCTTATTTGAACTACTAGTATGAAGTTACCTTAAATAGATCTGGTGAAGTGTTCGGCAGTCTGTGTTGATTTCTTCAGTGTAGATGGGAAGTGGAATTACAAGCTCTGGACTTCCAGGGAGTGCGTTTGTGGCCCCTTTCTGCACTGAAGGTAATGGCTAGAGAAATCAGACTCCTCCAGTGAATTGTTTGGCACTGGTAATTCTCTCAGTGTATCCATCATACAGCAAACTTCATTTTTCTGCAGTTCTTTGTGTTATTAGTGAGCTAAACCTTGCAGGAGATGACAAGAAATTGTTGTGACTGAAACTAAATTAGTAAAAAAGGGTCATTACCCTTTGATTATCCGCCCAAGTGATGCAAACCATCTCCTGAACAAAGAGATACCATGCAGAGCAAGCCAATTTTTCAAGTCTGAACTCTAATGAGGAAAGGAATGCTATCTAAGCTACAGGTCTTGTGGTAGGAAACTTTGATCATCTTTCACGTCTCAGAGCACCACCAAGCGAAAGGGTATGGAGGCAAGGAAAGAAAAGTTTTCTTGTCAGCTGTTTTGAAGAAAAACAGAGAAAGCAGGAATCTCTTGTGTTCTAGAAGGGCATGCTGTGATGTAGAAAAAGGGAGAAAAGATCTTACTTTCAGAAAGAAACACAAACTTTGCCAGAGAATGAGGGAGGAAAACAAAAAAAGCAAACAATTTTCTTTAGCTAAGTAACTAAGTCTGATACTGTTCCTGGCCAGCTGTACGTATCATACATGTTCCTTAGCTGTTGAATAGAGATAAGAACACCAGTAAAGGTAAGCATACAATCACAGAAGATCCTGATTTGGAGGGCACTGATAAGGATCATCGAAAGCAACTCCTGGCTGCACACCCAAAAATCAAATCCTTATGTCAGTAGTGTTGTCCAAATGCTTCTTGCACTTTGTTGCCTTGATGCTGTGACCACTGCCCTGGGCTGCCTGTTCCATGGCCTGACTACCCTCTAGTGAAGATCATTCTCCTAATCCCCAGCCTGACCCTCCCCTGACAAAGCTCCATGCTGTTCCCTCTGTTCCTGGTACTGTTACCAGAGAGCAGAGCTCAGCGCTGCCCTTCTGCTCCCCTCGAGAGGAGCTGTAGGCCACCACGGGTCCTCCCTTCAGCCTCCTCTTTTTCAGGCAGTACACTCAGTCGGTATTACTGCAACTGAATCTCTAGTCAGTGTCTATGGAACGTGTGCTCATGTGTCATGAGCGTTTGCTTATGTCCCCCGCATCTTTTGGAAATGCTTATGCCTGGGAAAGAAGAGAAGTGAGATTTGGTAATTATTCTGGATGATCGAATGAATTACTTAAATGTGAACTCAGTTCCAACTTGTCGTGCGCAGCTTCAGAGCTGTATGCATCTCACCAGAAAGTGCGAATGTAACACGAGCAAATGTTGGTAAGCAATGAGTGAGACCATCTGAGCGGAGAAGATGGCCTACAATACCCAAACTGCATTTCTGATAGGCTGTTGCTGAGGCAAACTAGGAATGCCAGAAGTGCTATGGTAATGCTCGTTTGCACACATTCAGAAGGTAGTGTCTATCTAGGCACAGTTGGCACAGAATTTATGGTAAGGAATTGCGAATAAGAATCGGAAACTCTAAATTATATATAGCGTTGTTTTTATGATTTATCTGAAGTGTCAGGTTCTGTGTCTTTTAGAACAAAAATAGTTTATAAAAGACAAATAGGATGATTTTGGATAGAAAGCAAATATCTTGATGTTTTCTCCCTGCCTTTAAAACATTTGTTTACAGCTTAAAAGAAAAAAAAAACAAGAGAAATGTCTTTGAAGAGACAAAAGCAAAGGAAATGTCAGATCTGATTTTTTAAAGTGAACTTTATTACCAAGTCCATTATTTTCTGTGAACAAATGCACCAAAACTTTCAGAATTGTTTGAGAGCTTTTGTAGATGATACATGTGCACTTTTGTGTGTTTGGTTAGCAGTTTTTTGTAGACTTATATTTGCACTTTGTTGTGACTAATAATGCACTTACAGGTGTAGACAGTAGTTCTTTTTGAAACAAGACAGGTTATCTGCTTTTTTCTGAAACCTGCCTGGTAAGAACTGGACTTCATAATAAAAGTAACCACTGATTACAATAGGAAGTCAGGGCAAATGTGAAGTTAGACACACCAGTTACCTTTGTAATTATCGTGCTAAATTTCTACAGGTAAGCTGCAAAACATTTGGTTGTGGAGCTGTACCGGGATGTGGAAAGGGGAATGGAGAAGAGGAAGAGTTTGTGTTGGGTCTTGAACTTGATTTGTGTGGATAGAATTGCTGTAAACTGTATTGTAAGACAAGCAATTTGCTCTTCATGGAACTAGGCCTGAAAGACAGCAGTGATTGTGCCTTCCAGTTAGTCTGTAAATGATGGGGAAATCATGGAAAAAGTGGTGCTAATCCATTTAATAGAAATAAACTCATGTCTTTATGTAGAACTGTGCACAGGGAAGAACTGTAATGTAAAAAATATGTTTTGTGATAAGACATTTTGAGTAGAGGTCTGACCAAAATGGTTTATGTTAAATTGATTATGGAATTACTATGGCATTTATTCCTGTAATGGCTCTCTTCTCATTCCCATTCCTCTAGGGATACATGCCATGAACTTCTGGGACATGTGCCTCTACTTGCTGATCCTAAGTTTGCCCAGTTTTCACAAGAGATAGGACTCGCTTCATTGGGAGCATCTGATGAAGATGTTCAGAAATTAGCCACCGTGAGTTAAATTGTTCTGTAGCATGCTCTCTCTTACCTGTCATCCTTTTTGATTATTGAAGTGACATGCATTGTTTTTACCAGAGCTGGTTCAAATTATGAGTGACTGTGCTGTGACGATCACAGAGCTTTAGGTCTTTTTCCATTGTTTTTATTAGGAGCAAAGCTAAACACGCTAATGCTTGGGTAATCAGTTTTATTATTTATCTGGAGTAACAATCCAGTTTCAAGGGTTCACTGAAATGGATTTTGTTTGCTTTAAGGTACTGAAAACAAGTAAGTAAGGTCATTTTGGGGGGAAAAAAAATAGAAGAAAATATTTTGGTGCACACTCTCAGCTCTGCTTTGTTAGTTCCTCCACAGGTGGCCGCTTTGGCTCTTAGCATTGCTGTTCCCTGCATTCACTTATCAGTCTTGCAGATGCTCACTGCATTGTAGTGTGTGATGGATTTTAAAATGATTTTACATCCTTACTACTGTTCCTGTTGGAGAATATGTAGTTACTAAGCCAAGATTAAGCAGCAGTAGATCTAGACTGTGGTCAACTGCCTCAGCCAGTGGCTGTGAGCTGAATTTTGTATTTCATCAATTTAACTGGACACTATTACAAGCAGATTCAATGAAAGTTCTATTAAACTATCATAGTTTTGATACACTGTCTTAGCAGTGTCTTAGAGTCTGCTGAAAAAGGAGTTTGTACCTGTTTTTTTTCTTTTTTTCTTTTTTTTCCTCCTGTAGCCTTCCAGAAGAGGCCAGCAAATTTATATAATCAGACAGCTCCACTCTCTGCTTAGACAGGCTTGATGTTTTGCTCCTGGCCTCTTCCTCTCACACATTTCAGGATATGTTCTTTGCTTTTATAATGGCTACCTGCTGAGAAGAAACTGCTGTTTGTAGGGAGGACTTAAGAAAGCTGTGTGTTTGCAAATTTGCTAGGAATGGACTTGGTAGGAAGCAGAGCTACCTTGTCATGACCTGCATCCTCAAGAAGAACTAGCTAACTGGCTATTTCTGTGGGTATTCTGAGGAAAATAGTATGTCCAAGTCTTTCACCCCATAATAACCTTAGATGACATGGACGTGGACCTGTTGCAGCGTACAAGGTTGAGACTAATCTGTTTGGGAGAGATATTAATATAAAATGACCTCTGAATATTATATAAATGCTTTTACTCTTCCCCCTCACAGAAATTCAGTTATGACTGACTATGTCATCTGAACAATGAACTGCTCCCGAATCACAAAGCCAAAAATAAAAGAAGACAGTTGAATCACTTTTCCTTATCATACTGAGAATTTGATATCTGAGTCAAAGTTGATTTCTCCTCCCATGCTGGAAATAGCTCTTTCAGGTGGAAGAGACATTTAGAAAAGAGCCTTACGGTAACCCAGGTGTTGTTATTTTTTTGTGGATGCACAGTGAAGAGCTATTCTCCCCTGAGGCAGGTGCTTGACAAATACAGAGATGTAACTTGCCCTAAAATTTGCAATGTAAACAAAGTCAGTTTGAGAGCAAGTAGAAAGAACATCTCTCAGTGGAGAGGGTGAGGAGGCCAAGAAATGCATTCAGTTGGGCACCAAATGTCACTTGATGTGCTATTAACTGGCTTTTGCAATATTCTGTTCCATTTCCAACCTAGATTAAAAAAAAAAAAAAAAACAAAAAACACAGAATCAACAAAAACCAGATGCAGCAAGCTGAAAAATGCCAGCCAAGAGTCTTAATGCAGAAAAGCAATGCAGGTTCCAGCTAGGCAACTTCAAAGTAAATACAGAAACAAATGAATGGAGAGAGAACATGCATATTAATGAGCTTGAAGCAATATGCCCAAAGCTAGCTTGCCATTATCATGACCTGTTTCAAAAGATAGTGACATTAACAGCTGAGCCCTTACAGGGAGGACAATGGCTCTGGAAGAGAAGAAAATGCCTCTTAGGAATTCAGACTAGAAAGGGAAGAATTATTACAGGTGATTTCCTAATCTTCCGCTCCATTCTGCTCTCAGAAGCCACTGTGTATCTGCCTTGATAGATCTGCTCTTTGTGTATGATCAGTCTTGAGCTACAAAGGAAATGTGTGGGTGGCTTTGTCTCTGTAGATCTGACATGGTTCATGGAGAGCAAGCAGGAGTCTTGTCCCTGGGCAGGCCAGGATAATTTGGTACATGGCAATCGGTCACCTCTGTGCAGTGCCTCTGAGGGCAGGGATTAAATGGGGGAGCATTGCAGAGGTGCTGGTCAGCCGGAGGGAGGACACCTGTAGGGGAAGAGGGCTGAAAATAGAGGGATTGGAGAGTACCCCATCCCCTTGCTGAAGTCTGTTGGTCAGATTGGAGCAAGAGGCGTGGAATGGCTGCTGCTCCTTTTCAAACTTAAGCTCTCTTGCCTTGAAAAATGGAGTAGTGAAAGATCTTAAAGACTGCCTATGTGGTAGTTTTTAAGAGATGCTGTTCCACTTACAGTGTTTTAGGGGAGTAAAAAAAAAAAAAAAAAAAAGCAAACAAGTGATTGAGAGACAGATTACTGAAACAAGGCAAAATATTTCCACAATTCGCTTTTTTTCACTTGTCCTGTGGTACAATGCAGTTACGAGCTGAGGAAATGTAGTATTGACTTTGTATGTCTGGGTGCTAATTACAATCATCATAACTAATGTCTTGTGCTACTCTGTGTGACGTTCTAAAAAATGGTTTTGAGTTGATTTTTCAAGTGTGCCTGGTCTTTCTGTTTATTTTAGTACTGTGTGAAAACAGTCTGTCTTTTCTACTTAGCTCTCAAACTGTTAGCTGAAGGGTGGAATTGACATGAGGTGTTCCAATTAATTTATATAATATATAATTTATAACACATTTAATAGCACATAACATAAGGTTTTGTCAGGAAAATTGTACAAAAAATATACCTCAGTTTATATTCTGATATAACCTTGTAATTTGTGGACTTGGGAGCTGGAGAGCAGCTGTCTTTGTGAAGCTGCAAGTTGATAAGCAGGATTCTTTCTTTCTTACTGATGGCAGGAATGACTCCCACTCCTGTTGGGTTCTTCCAGCACAGCTCAAGCTGCCTTCTGCAAGGGAGCAAGGGGAGGATGTGTATGTACAATTCAATCACCACCAGTCAGTTTGCTCCACTCAGAAAAGAATCAGTTAGCACAGTGTCTGTGGTTTGTATGCATCAAATCTTTCCATCCAAGAATTTGACAATTAGGGATTAATTAGTCCCAGCAGGTTTTTTCCAAAAATTTCTTGCTGGAAGGTGCACTTAAACCTTCAGTTCTGCAGAACTGAAAAAAGATTGGCACCTTTTCATTTTTCTTGACAACGTTTTTCCTGGTATTTTAATAGCATGAGGCTATTGTTTTGTCTGCCTTTATGCAAAAAAAAAAAAAAAGCCACCAACCCCACAATAGTGAATTGAATCATAATCTGACGGAACTGTGAGAAATTGTGTGATGAGGTCTTGAAAATGTGTTTCAGGCTTATTATAAATCTAAATGTTTTATGTTGCCTGGATAATGACTGAGGCCAATTGTATATTTCTACAGATGAATTTCATTTGTCTGTGTATGTATCACATACTAAATATTTTACATACATATACTAGGATTAAACAAAAATAAATTGCTCAGAACTGCCTATCTGGGAGAAATTGATGGTAATTCGTGTGAACTCATTTGCCTGTTTTCCTCAAAGGTCTACACTGCCCAGTTCTCTTGTCTTCATTCTAGTTCTTTTCCCACACTGAACGACTGGCATATGATTCAGGACAATTACTCATTGTTTACTGAGGTCATAAACAGAATGGAAGAAACGAGCATTGCAGACAAAGGGTGGGTTGCATGTGGTAACTTTGAGTAGATATCTTGAAGGAGAGGACAAATTGTTGTGATCTCATCTTCAAAACAACAGATAACATTTCCCAGAGGTACTATCACTAGTGCTAGGCCATAAGTACAGCTTGTGAGTTGGGTAACTGTCTTCCTCCATAAGGAAACAAATGGAGCAGAGAACAAAACTGCAGAAGTGCTTGAGATTTTGAACATTCTTAATATACATCTGAAAAATTAAGGTTTCTTGAATATTCCTCATTTATATAGCAAAATGACAGGCAACAATCTACCACTGCTCTAAGTCTGCAGTCAGCTCCCCTGCTGAAGCCATTCTGCCACATAAAAATAATTTTGTATTGGCCACCTAAAACCTACTATCATAGCTGAAGAGCTATGGCATTCACTGAACATTTCGAAGTTCAACGTTCAAACATTTTTCTTTATCCCAAATAGTATGCTGTATTGTGTGACAAATGCCAGGAGTGAGCAGAGCATGTAACCTAAGTCCAGAGGTGACATAATAGAGTTTCTTGTAAAAGAGATGCTTCTGTCTGCGCCTGCTGTTTATTAATAGAAGAGCTGCAGCGTGAATTACTGAGAGTGAATATGATGTGAAAACTGCTTGAGTAAATTTTAACAGACTTAAGAGAGTCATGAAATGACTCTTGACTGGGGTGCATGTCACTTAGAGAAGATGAACCTGTTCCCAGTGTAAAAGGTAGGACATAAAGTATATATGAAGGAGCCAGACGTTGTCCTGCCAGACAGCATGAGACTGGAAATACTGGTATCCTTATTGTTCATCATTTGGGAAGTAAAAGCACGTGGCTAGGGCTGTGTCTGCTCCTGATTTTCACCAGGCAAAGACATTCCTATATGTATATGTTGGAAATTGCCTGAAAGCATAATCTGAAGTGATACAAGAACCAGAGAACAAGGGTGATGGAACGTTGTTGTCTTCTCAGCTGTTGCAAAGTCATACAAATCTGTTTGAATCAGGAGAATTGGATTGCCCTTCTTTGATAGGTGAGGTGTTGCCTAGCACACAGACTGCAGCTCTAAAGCATACTCTAATCTCTGGTTTTTCTCTGTATAATATTCTGAAGGTATTAATAACAGATAATGGTCCCCAGATTTTAAGGACCTGTTCCAACAGTTCTTGATAAAATAAT